CCAGATGTCCCGATTTTATAGGGACAATCCTGATTTTTGGGTCTTTTTCTTATATAGGCTCCTATTACCCCCATCCCCTGTCCCGATTTTTCACACTTGCTGTCTGGTCACCCTACCGAGCCGCGTGTCCCCACGGGCTCCAAACGCATGGCCCGAGAGTGCCCCGGTGAGAACAAGTCAGGAAATGCCATGAGCTCCCCTCTGCCTTCTCTCTGGATCATTGCTTAGGAGGAGAGTTTATCCCCTAACCTATGGGGTGGGCAGGGAGGGTTGATTCCCCAAAACCAATGGAGGAGATGCCACCGGATCTGCGGGGAGGGGACACACTTAACCAAAGGGGACATTTCCTCTGCTTAGGGAGAGGACAATTTGGCCTCTCTGTGATAGAAGCCGCTTGTAAGATGCACTGGACAAGTCCCTACCACAGTAAACCCCATTTCAGCATCCCTCTCTAGCACGACTCATGACAACTGCATCTTTTATCAAGGAAGAACAAGCTGGTTTTTGGAAAGAGGCACCTGCAAATACATCCTCAGCCAGTTAATGTCACACATGCACTTTTGGCTTGATCAGTCCTCAGCCTTCAGTGCATCCCACGCTGCTGGAGTGTAACACGGCCCAATGTTATTTCACAGGCACCGCGGTCCAAACTCCGTGCTAGCATAAGCCGGCACGATTGCACCAAAGTCAACCTTGTGGCATCTGGCAGAGACAAAGCTGGGTCCCTTTGCGCCTCAGATCTCTGCCCTTAAATCCATGTCAGTAACAACTTGGCTCAAAGCCTCAAGCAATTCATCTATTTCCCCACCAAAGTGGTGATAACCTGTGAATGATGTGTGCATGCATCCATTCAAAAAGTTTTACATTGTACAAAGCCCTTGCACACATGACACACACACACACACACACACACACACTGCCTGCACCACCACCGCCTTCTCCCCTTCCCACCCCCCATTCAATAACCTCTGCATGCTTCAAATGCCCTTGTTTAGCCCAATGCAGACACATCTAATATCTTCTTTTATTATCTCTCTAATCCAGGGTAAGCAATCACGTTTTGCAATGTGCACTTTGCATTTGCCACCAGTAAACAAAACTCCCACGCAAGTTCATTCAATGAGTTTCATTCATGGAATCAGCCGAACTTTCAAATGATTCCGAACATTTACTATGTCGATTTCATTTGTCCGGCGCTTTAAACTGTCATTTCCTCATAAGCCACTTTGTTAGCTTTAATGTGCAGAGGAAGAACATCGACTAGAACTTCAAACACACAGAGCCAAGTCAACCCTCACCAGCAGAAAGCTATAGGCGCTTCTTTTGTTAGTTTACTTTTATTATCACGCTCTGATAGGTTAACCCCCAAAAAACCTCTGGAGTTCAGATCATTGAGTCTATAAGGCTGATAAAATGCACATCTATGCATACACGCACACAATGGTGCCTACTTGGATTTAAGTGACATTCCCATTGCAGGGGAACACAGTAAATGTTACCAACAGCTCCCAATTCCATAGGGGGACACTACTAAAATCAGGCAATAAATTTACACTTGGCAGCAAAGGGAGCTAAACCCGCCCCTCTCTGCCTCGCCAATGTGGGCAGAAGCCTTGGAGAATGACACTTAAGGGTTTTGTGCTCAATAAGGCACTAAAGAAGCCAATTTGTTTTTGACATTGCACTGAGAGTTCTCATCAAGGTCTAAATGCCCAGACTGTTTGTTGTTGTCATTTTTTCAAAAGGCGACACCATGCACAATCTTTTAGGAAAGGAATTTTTTTGGAAAGGGGCACTCTGTTTTCTATGTCTAACTAAAGGGTACTTTACACACCAAAGGAAAAACCCAGGTCTGCTTTTCTATTAATCAACACCTCTTAAAGGCAAAATCCTTGCTACTTGGCCTTCAATTTCAATGGCTCATGCTTCTTTCAAAGCGCACATTAAAGCAAAGCTATTTAACTGTTGGAACATTTTTTAAAACCTCACACAAATAAACAAAAGGAAAAAACCCCAGTTACAGTAGCACTAAGTGAAAGCAAGTATATTCAGGCTGGGACCTTTGTCAGCCCAAGTTCTCCCTATGCCTAGGTGCAGCATAGAAGACCACCCAGTGTTTGGGGAATCCTCCAGCACACAGAGGGGATAAACGGGGTTGGAGTTAACAATGAAGTTGCAGTCTGAGCTCTGAATTTCCTGTCTTTGGTGGGTTTAAGCTGGACCCCACACAATTACTTAAAGCAGTTGCTTGTAGGGAAGTAGCCTGCAGGCCAAATTTTCACTCCCAGGTGCTATGGGTGCATTTTTTAATAAATCCCACACTTGGACAGGCAAATCAGGGAGAGAAACACCTAACTACCCTCCTGTATAGGCAGCTACCTGATCTGAAGTCACGGGGTCCTATCTGCATGCATAAGCATGGAAGTTCATGGGTAGCTTTGCGGGAGCAGCTCCTGGAAATTTAGCCTTTCGTTTTTCTTCCAGCAATTTAAGAACTTTTTTTTAAAAAGGTGCAACAGCAAGTGAAGGTGGGGAAGTGTCCCTGTGACAGAATAAGGGGTCCAAGGAGCCTGGAAAAGCCAGGCAGGGGAACCATTAAAGGACCACTGACATTGTCATATCAGTCAGGGCCTATTCCCAAAGGCATCAAAAAGACAACTTCCATTGAGTTCAGTGGTGCAAGATCCAGCCCCTACCCCTTGCATGCAATATATCTTTCAAGCTGCATGGTGATAAGAAATGTGCCCTACATCCTAATTCAGTGGGTTACACATGGGGCAATCCCAACCATTAAGTTGTTCTTTTAAAACACGGTATTTCCCAGGTATCCTACAACTAAGAGGGCATGGATCCTTTACTCCCTCAAGTAGTCCTCAAATCACGCCAGTCATCCCATCCTCTCCAAGGAGTCTACTCATGGGGGCAAAGATTGCTGGATCAGGGTCACATGGAGCTCTGCACACATGTGATCTGTTATCACTGGATGTGTGTACAGCTTTGTTTATGTTTAGGACCCAGAATAAGTAGCACTTCCTTTTTTCCTCATTTGAGCAAAGAATTAGAGGACCCAAACCAAACAACTGGGTGGAATGGGAAGGGCATTGGTTATTGGAGGATATAACATTGGGCCTCAATGAGTTGAGCTAAGATTGAGCCGAGTTTTGTATAATAATCAACAGTACAGTAAATCATTTGCAAAATACACTACAGCTTTACAGCTAGCAGCGTGCGCTGTGGATGCGTATTAGATAAATTACACATTGTACATTGCAATCGTCTGCTTCCATTTAATCTTTTATTCTTAATGTACGTTCAGTGCCCACACATCAAATGCAGGGGGAGTGGAGCTCCAGTATGAATCGCATATTACCGACTCAAAGGCAAAGTGGGGGAAAAGTATTACTTGGTTAAAAAAAACAAAAACCTTAAGTTACTTGTCACACATGGCTCAGTTCCAGTGAGCCGCGCATCCTGCACGCCGGCCATCCCTCACTGACTGCAGTTTGGGAAACAAAACTAAAATGGGCAACAACAAAATAGACGGATTTCAGCTACTCTGTGGATGCAAAATTTGCTTTAAAAATAAATGAAACAAACTCAGCCCTCCTGTTGCTTTTATATTAAAAAAAAAAAAAAAAAAAAAAAAAAACCCTGTAGAAAACTCTGAACAAGTGACCCAAACACTTTGAATACCCTCTGAGCTACAGAAAAGAAAAAGATCAGCCCAGGGAACGCTGTTCTGCCCCAAATCCTCTTCCTCCAGCTATGAAAAAAAAAAAAAAAAAAAGAGGGGGGGGGGGAAATTAAAGCCGGGAAAACCCAAAGTCTGGCCCCCAGCCGCCCTTGTGCTGCTCCCCGTCCCCTCCCTCTGCCCAGCAGCGCCAGGCTCTGCATGGCAAGTTGGAGGCAGGCGAGGGAGGGTGGGCGGCCTGGGTTTGTTTGCTGAATCGCCAGCCCCTGGAAAGCAGGGCTAGGAATTGCTGACAGCCCCTGAGCTGCAGCGGCGCTAGCGGGCGCCGCTCTAATCCGCGGCTCACACAAGCAGAAGGGTCAGCTAGAGCCAGCCTGCTGCTTTCAGACACCATTGTAACCCGGGAAACAAACCAGTGATTAGATCAGGAGGGGGTGGGCTCCTGATCAATAATGCAGCGTCCTGGGATAGAGGGGCTGGCTGCAGCCACCGTGCCACCGCCCCGTGTTGGAAACTGACATTTGCCATCCCATTTCCCCCTCCTGTTAATTTCACTCAAGGGGGGGAGAGAAGGGGGGCAGGAAGGACAATTTCAATATTGCAAACAAAACTTTGCTCATTAAACAAACGCCCCGTCCTCGCGGCCGCCACAACAACCTCCCCCCCCCCCATGCTCCCGGCAGCAACCCCAATAAAGCAGCAGTGATCTGGGACTTACATGACTCCGAACGCTACAGGACACACACACACACACACACACACACACACACAGGGGACTGGTCACTTTCTCCGGTGTCTTTCCAATCGCGGTGCGTGGGGTTTGCCCCACCCCGCAAAAAATACCCAAAACTGGAAGAATCGGGCCGGGGGAGTCGATTAGTTTCCCTTGGGGGGGGGGACTTTAAAAGGAAAGTGCGGGAGGGTGGCTAACCCCCTCCCTGGATGTCTCTGCTCCAGGGACCCCTGGTGCCAGCCGGGCTGGGGCGAACTCACGGGTCATCTCCCGTGGAGGATCCCATCCCCCCCAAAATCCCCTTTTTTGTCTAGACCCAGTGATCTGAGACCAACCTTCTGCAGCACTTCTCCATCCCAGCGGAGGTAGGGACGAGGGGGGTTAGGGATAAGGGGGTGGGTGGGAGCAAAGGGTTTGATCTGCCCCCTCTCCCCTGGGCCACTGATCAGCACCTGAACGGAAGGGAAATTACAGGGCAAACTTTTTCCCGAGACTTTTCCCCCAACTCTTCCGCCGCCCGTGAATGCATCTGCATATTTAGCGAGCACAGAGGCCTTTTCACTCTCATGCACCTACCGGAGGAAGAGCGATCCGGAGCAAGAGCAGGAGAAGCAGCAGCGGCAGGGGGAGGAAGGAGGAGAAGGGAGGGATGGGAGCTGCAGCCACCACCACTCCGGGCAGTGCGTGTGTGTGTGTGCGCGCGCGAGCTGTCGCCGGCCGGATTAAAGAGCCAAATCCAGAGCATGCAAAAAAAAAAAAAATAATAACACCTGCCAAAAAATTATCTCTTTACAAGGCGAGGGGTGTTTGTCTCCCTCCCCTCCTGTCGGGGGGGGGGGTAAATCAGCCGGGGGGGGGGGGGGCTGCAGCGCCCAGATCAAAGGGTCGCGTGCATGGGAGGGGGGGCTCACAAAGGGGAAATGAAAAAAAAAAAAAAAAGAAGTGAAGGGTGGAGGGGGGGTCTCTCCTCGAAGGCAGCGTCTCCTTCCCCGCAAACCCACCTCTACATCCCTCCTCGCTCTGGAAGTACATAGACAGCCGAACCACATTGCATAGGGCTGCTGCTGCTGCTGCTGCCCGGGGGCTGCCGGCAAAACCCGGACCGGACCGACTCGCCGGCTGCCCACTGCCGCCTCCTCTGCCATCTCCGCCTCGCTCCCTTGGCCCTGCTCTTTTGCATGCTGAGCGCAGGCTTCTCCCCCCGCCCTCCCCAGCAACCAGCCCCAAAGTGAGCCGCAGCCCGGGGCAACTCCTCGAGCCGAGCAGGCAGCGCCAAGCCGCCTCCAAAGGAGGTTTTTATGCAATCGCTTTGATTATTATCTGATTAACTTGCACCGTGGCTGCTGCATTCCCACTGGCCACATCCCAGTCCCCAAGCCCTCTGCCATCCCTCGCTGTCTCCTGCACTCCCTCTTTTTGCTCTCTCCTTGTGTTCCGCCGCCACCGCCACCACCTTGAAAAGCAACTTTTATCACCGTCCTTCCCCTTTAAACAAAATAAAAACAAACCCCAAAGTAAGATGCGAAACTTTGCCCAGCCGGCGTTCGGCAAGCTGGCCTGGGGAGGTGCTAGCCCAGCCGGGCTTGCGTCTCAGGGGGGACGTGATTTTTATGTGGGGCTTTGTTAAACTGGCCCGTTCGGAACTTTCCGGGGGGGGTTTTGGTATAATACTGAGGTTCACGCTGCTTCCTGGTGAAAACACGCTCCCTGTGCCTCGCCACAAAATATTTGCAGCACATGGGCTGATTCATTGTGGAGCCTTTTTTTATGAATAAAGGTTTTCCCAGTGGTTCCTTTAGAGGTGTAAATACTTCAACAGACCACTTGTGGTACTCGTGCTAAACTTTGAAGATCCTTTTTATTATTATTATTATTATAACATGTAGATACAGATGTGTGTGAGAGAGAGAGAGCTTGATGGTTTAGCTTTCCTCAATCGATTCAGCTTGCTTGGACTCAGAGGGCAGCTTTCTGTGGCATTTCAAGCTATTCTGAGCTGAAATTGTTCATACTAGTCTCTGTACATTATCAATACGTCACATAGGCCCTCAGTATAATGCAATGTGTTCATGTATTGTATTTTTATTACATACCTTGGGCACATATATATACATGCCACCTATATATAAATGCCTATATAGCTTCTGCTAACTGCTATAAGGCCCCCTTAAAAGGGATATATTACTTGGGGGATTGATTGAGAGTGAAGATTACAGCAAAAATTCAGAAATTGACCATCGAGATATAATTAATCTGCAGGTCCCTTTTGTTTTCTTTCAACACATGATGCAGACCTTCATCCTTATACACATTACCCTGCTGGCCAGGTGATGTGTTATTACATTCTTTAATAATGTATTTTTGTATCACTTGTCTCAGGCTGTTTACCGTCTGACAAAGTTTGGGTTTAGCTCACTGCATGACGTGACCTTCTTAGTAACAGAACTCCAGGACAAATAGTGGGAGCTGTCTCAGATAATAATTAATTAATAATAGGATCATGTAATAATACTAAGCACATCTATAGCACTCTCAAAGCACTGTGCAAAGCCGGGCAGGTGCTATTAACCCACACACTGAACATGACGTTTTTCCCTCAGTTCTTACAGTCCTTCATGTTCACTTTAAAAAATCATATCCGCTGAGCATCTCCTGCAATCCCGGAGCATGTGAGGGACCCACGCAGCACCCTGTTGATTTCCATGGGGCTCTGCTAGGGAGCAAGGGTCATCTTCCCCCACCCCCACAATGCAACTCTACTTGCAGGACCAAAGTCTTACATGATACAACCTCCATCAATTTCAAGCGGACCAGGACCTGGCCCAGTGCTACTACTGTGCTCAGAGTGCTGGACAAGATAGACAGATGGCAGTCAGCTAATCATAAAACTAGGTCTTAGCTTATAAACCACTTGGACTAGGGCAGGAGTCGGCAACCTTTCAGAAGTGGTGTGCCGAGTCTTCATTTATTCACTCAAATTTAAGGTTTCATGTGCCAGTAATAAATTTTAACATTTTTAGAAGGCCTCTTTCTATAAGTCTATAATATATAACTAAACTATTGTTGTATGTAGAGTAAATAAGGTTTTTAAAATGTTTAAGAAGCTTCATTTAAAATTAAATTAAAACGCAGAGCCCGCCGGACCGGTGGCCAGGACCCAGGCAATATGAGTGCCACTGAAAATCAGCTCGCGTGCCGCCTTTGGCACACTGCCATAGGTTGCCTACCCCTGGACTAGGGTATGTCTCTCTCCATGATACCATACTGAGCTGCTGTCTCAACTCAATAAATGTTATTACTGCTTTTCTTTCTGTGTCGCTTATGCGTCACGTTTTGTTTCGTGTTTGTGTGGCTGATGCCTAAAAAGCCTGGGACTGGGCCCCTGAAAGCTCTGGGTGGAATAAGCTAAAATGTCTCCACTCCCATATCCTCTACAGCATCCAAGTTATCCTCCTTTATATTTCAGGTCGAAAGGCCATGTGACCTCCACTCAGCAAATGTGTAGCTGGTCAATATTTGCTGGTGCCAGAAGCTATTGACTAGCTAGGAGAGCAATAGTGCAAAACTCTTTTCAGTCACATGATGCTGTGTCAGCCAATTGTATGACAGTTGGTAAGCAAAGGGTGTCATAAGTAAGTATGTCACATATAATTTGGGGATCATGTAAGTATGACTGGTCTGTGAACTTCTTACTGAAACCTTCCAGCAGATACATGAAGAAAACAGGAAGGTGATATTTCTTGGTCTTGCAATACAATCTCCGATTTGGTCTGTGATCTCAAATGGACTCAGGACTCAATTCTGCAAATGTACTCACATTGGCTAGCAGTTGCTCATCCATTTACTTTACATGTCTATTTAAGGAGTGGGTACCTCCTCTAGCATTGCAGGAGGGACAGCTAATGTCTGCTATAGGTAAGGCTCCCCACCCTCCATTTCTTATAACTTCTTTGGGGGCTGAAGCATTATGAGGATTCCAATTTCTTATTCATTTAAACTGATTATTTATACAAACCATGTGTGTGACCCACACCTACCATAACAGGACCCTGATCCCTGATTGCTACTACACTACAAATTTCCCCATTGCAAACCTGGCCAGATGTATTGCAGGGAGCTGGGGGTTGTCTTCCCCTGAAGCATCAGGGATTAGCCACAGCTGGAGACAGGCCACTGGATAGGGTGGACTAATGCTCTGAAGTGGTACAGAGAATCCTTTCCAGATGCCTGACTGGTGGATCTTGCTCACATACTCAGGATCCAGCTAATTGCCAGATGTGCAGGCTGGCAGGAATTCTCCTCCCAGTCTGATTGGAGGAACCTTGGAGATTTGCTGCCTGCCTGTGCAGCTTGGGGTGCGGATCACCTGCTGGGATCATCCAGGCATCTCTCACCTAATCAATTCCCTGCCATGGCAGCAGCCTCGGGCATTGGTGGCCCCTCCTTTCCCCTCTTCTCTGCCTAGGTACCTATAGTCTCCTGAGGATGACATGCTTTAGTCTCACTCAAGTTATTGGGCTCAATATAAGGGTAACTGGGTAAATATTTCAGGCCTGGGTTTTACAGGAAGTCAGACTAGATCTAAAAGTCTCTTTCCCCTTAAACTCTATGAAGCTATGGAATACGGGGGATATTTTCAAAGTTACAACCAGGAGCTAAGGCACCCGACTCCCACTGACTTTCAAGGAGAGTTGGGTGCCTACCTGGCCCATTGTGCATTTGAAAATCTCCACCTCAATCAAGACAAAATAATACATCATTTCTATGCAAGGCCCATTACAAACACCTCAGGGGATTAGATCCCTACCTCGGACACTGGAAAGTTATACCCAGTTGAAATATTTCTTTCAACCCAATTTTAATGGCTCTCATATAAAAATGGAAGACTTACACAGGACAGCTACAGTTTTGAGTACGTGTTTCAGGTTTTCCACTGAAAATAAATCTGAAACCCCAAAACTGATTATTTTTTTAGTTTCATCAACTGAAAACCAAACAATCTCCACTAAAACAAAAGAAAAAGTGGTTTCTGGCAGAAATTTTTTAGCTTTATGTTGCTGAAAATTGAAAAAAATATAACCTGTTTTCAGGCTTTTGCTTTCTGATGAAAACCCAAAATGTTCTGAAGAAAAATGTTGAAGAAAAATGAAAAACTGTTTTCATTGGCTTTTTGGGGGAGGGGGGAGACACCAAAATCATGTCCCGACCAGCTCTACTTATAGTCACAAGTGAGACAAAAGTGCAGACAGTATGTGTATATTGTGGGGGAGGAGGGAGGATTGAAAATGAAAGTAATATGGGTAAGCTGTTTGTGTTTGGCACACATCTAGTTAATTCCAAGAGTTTTACATATATATCTGGTGGGAACGCAGTACTGGCTTCATTCTGCTCCTAGCGAAGTCAATGAGAGTTTTACGCCTGACTTCAATGGGAGCAGAGTTAGGCCAGCACTAGGTGCTTTGAAAATGCCATCTTTATGAGGTAAGTTAAAAGGCTAAGGAACTGGAGTCTCAGAAGGAGCAATTTGCAGGCGGCTAGGCCAAGAGGAACAGCTGTGTCTGCGAGGAAAGGCAGGTTGAAGCACCACTGCTGCCCTCCACTGGGAGGCATTTTCAAACATTTAAGATAACATTTTCAAAAACACCTAAGTGATCTAGGAACCCAAGTCCCATTCTCAGAAGGGACTTAGAAATCAATGGGAAGTTAGGGGCCTGCTTTTAAAATCCCCCAGAGCACCTATCTGCATCTTCAGGCACTTGCATCCCTTTACAACCCTGGTCCTAACTCACTCGCACATTTTTGAAAATGTTACAAACAAAACCAAAGGCTGCTTTGGAAGTTAGGCTTATGCAGCC